ATTTTATTTCTAGTATTATTAAATTTATTATTATTATTTTTTTCTAATTTTGCTTAAAATTTGGTTCTAATGGCATTTACGCCTCTCCACAACATATTGTAATGTTTTTGGACAGTTTTATAAAATTTATTTGCTTTATGCAAACTTATTCTAATTGTTGATTTTTTAAAAAAAATTAGTTTGGGATATAATCTTTTGAACTTATCCATCAGAGTGGAAATAATGTCTGTACAAAACCAAATGTTTGTTACTATAACTTCTGCATCACAATTAAAATTCAAACAGTTTTTTAAAAACAGTCAGCTCAATCAAAACCCACTACTTCAGAATCAGTAGCTTCTTTGAAGCCACCATAACTCTTAAATATAGTTAAGACTTGAATGCAGAAATTTGGTTGGTTGGAAAGCTAATTTAACTTCCAACTTGCTCAAATAGAATTACAAAAAGGCAAAATTGTGTGTTTTTACAAAGTTACAGTCCCCTGGAATCACCAACACTGGACCGCTGTTAAGAGTATTAGAGTCCTGAGATAATAAGGAATCCAGGCATCCTTTAAACAGTCTTCTGTTGCCCTTTCTTCCCAGTCAGCGATTTGTGGGTATGTGGGATGACACCATCACCAGCAATTATAGCCTTGATGAGAGAGTCCAACTCTTCATCTCCACAAATAGCAAGTTGCAAGTGACCATGGGTGATATGTTTTATGTTTATGTCTTCTGTTGCATTTCCTGCCAATTCAAGTACCTCTGTGGTGAGGTACTCCAGGATGGCTGCCGTAGTCCATGGCTGGTTGTCCTAGATTTCAGGGAACTGCAAACCAGCTCTCTGAGGGATCGGGAAACTGCCTTTGTCTTGGCCTTGTCGGAGTCCTTCCCAGTCTTACCACCAGCCATCTGGAATTCTGCTGAAGCTCAGACAAGCAAGGCAGAGAAAAATGCAAGAAAAGGCTAGTCAGACACAAAGTGAGATCCCACCACCTACTCCTTCGTGGCACCACAATTCAAACTGCCTGATCTTTTTTTTTAACATTAGATTTCTTCTTGTGTTTAATTGGTTTGTAGGCTCACTTAGAGTAAATTTTTTTTTAATTTGTTCATCCTCCCTGTCTTTGTCCCTCCTACTTTGTTTCTCCACTCCTCCCTGCCTCTTCTGTCCCTGGCATTGCCTTCCCTTTCTCCTTCATACTTCCTCCTCTCTCTGCCGAATAATTTAAAATTTATATTTGGCCTCAACCTAGCCCTCCAAGGTGGATTTGGAGATCCAGTCTCTTCATGGTTCCAAGTTATGGTGTTGCCATGGTTTTGGGGATTTGACAGAGCCCGGGCAAGGCTAGTCTCAGCTTCAGGTTCTAAGGCAGTTGCTGTGTTCTGTTGTAGCCTTAGGCTATATTTGCTGAAGGGAAGACCAGCTATCCTTAAACAATGAGCCTGGCTCTTGTGTTTGTCAAGAAACCATTCTCTTTACCCTTCAGGGCTGAACTCTTTCTAGTCCAACATATCTGTTTCTTCCTGTACCTATTTTATGTTTGTGTTCCATTTCTTTGCTCTGTGGGATTTACTTTGTATTGTATATCCTTTTTTTTAAAAAATATATATATATATATAATTTTTGTTGTAGATGGACACAATACCTTTATTTTATTTGTTTATTTTTATGTGGTGCCAGGGATCGAACCCAGTGCCTCACACATGCTAGGCAAGTGCTCTACCACTGAGCCATAACCCTGGCCCCTGTACCCTACTTTTTTGTGTGTGTGATAGTTTTCTCTTTTATATTTTGTCAGTATGTTTGTAGTAGAGGCAATTTCTGGATTATTATTATTTTGGTGAGGGGGTGCTAGGGATTAACTCAAGGCCACTCGACCACTGAGTCACATCCCCAGCCCTATATTTTTGTATATTATTTAGAAATGAGTCTACACTGAGTTGTTTAGCATCTTGCTTTTTACTGAGGCTGGTTTTGAACTCATGATCTTCCTGTCTCAGCCTCTTGAGCCGCTGGGATTACAGGCGTGTGCTATCGTGCCTGGCTATAATTTTATTTTTTAATATACATATATTTTTTTTTAGTTGTAGATGGACACAATACTTTTTATTTATTTATTTATTTATTTTATATGGTGCTGAGGATAGAACCCAGCACCTTGCATGTGCTAGGTGAGTGCTTTACCACTGAGCCACAACCTTAGCCTGCAATTTCTGGATTATGAATTAACTGATTCATCATTACTTAGTAGACATCTCTACAAATTCTCTTGTTCTAATTTTTTCTTTTTCTTGGTAGTTTCCTATTTCATGCTTGTACATAAATTTTCTTATTACATCTTAAGGTTTTTTTAAAAAAATTATATCTATCTATCTATATCTATCCATCCATCCATCCATCCATCCATCCATCCATCTTTTTGCAGTACTAGGGATTGGACCCAGACCACCGCACCTGGTAAATTGAGCTCTACTATGGAATTATATCCCTAGCCCTTTTTTATTTTGAGACAAGGTCTCACTCAGTTGCAAAGGCTAATCTTAAACTTGTGATTCTCCTTGACTCAGCCTCCCAGGTAGGTAGGAATATGGATGTGTGCTGTCATGCCTGACAGCTGAAGGTTTTTGTTTTTTTTTAAGTCCTCTGTTCTTTCACATAGTAGTGCCTTTAGTAAGTCACATTTATTGTGAGTATTCCCCTTATTTTGAATAAATTATATATCTTTATCCATTTGATTTTTCTTTTTAGTCTTTAACGATCTCTTTATGTTAAGTAGCTCATGTAGATTGCATCAAATATTCTGTAAATAGTAGTAAGATTTTTTTTTCAGTTTTAGGTAAAAGAAAAAACTACATTTATTAAATTGTCTTCATTGGTTTATTTAGAAGGCAGTAAGTAGTTTGTGTGTGGTTGAGATGGAGCTACAGGTAGTGTGTTTGTCAGCTTTTCGTTGATGTGACCAAAATACCTAACACAAACAACTTCAAGAAGGTGCAATTTGTTTTGAACTGGCCACTGTAGTACATGCTTATAATCCCAGATAATCAGTAGGCTGAGGCAGGAATATCGAAAGTTTGAAGCTAACCTTGGCAAATAAGCAAGGCCTTCAACAACTTAGTAAGACCTTTCTCAAATAAAAAGCGCTGGGGATATAGCTACGTGGAAACACCTCTGAGTTCAAACCCCAGTACAAAAAAAAAGAAAAGAAAAGAAAATTTTGCTTTCAGCGATTTTTGTTCATGGTCAGTTGACTCCATTGCTTGGGGCCTGAGGTGAGATGGAACATCATGGTGGAAGGGTGTAGGGGAGGAAAGCTGTCCGCTTATGGCAGTTGGGAAGAGAGAGAGTGTGTGTGAAGAAGGGGGCCCAGGTCAAGATATAGTCCCCAAAGGGTATACCCCTGTGGCTGTTTCCTCCAACTGTACCTCACCTGCCTTTAGTTTCCATCTCCTTCTTGTAGTCCCTTTAAATTATTAATTTATCAAATTAATTAATCCACTGATGAGGTTAGAGACCTCATTATTCAGTCACTTCCAAAGCTCCACTTCTGGACATTGCTGCACTGGGGACCAAGTCATTAATATATGAGCTTTTGGGGGACATTTCAGATCTAAACCATAACAGGCAGAGCCATTGTTGAGGCTTTCTTTGTTCAGGAATAATTTACTATCTATGTATATTCTTTGAAAGCCACAAGCTGCCCCCTCATTCTACTCAACACCTGGTGAAGGTCCCCAAAGGATTCCACTCCTAGTCATTTTCCATTTCACTGACCTTCCTTCATATCTACAGCGTAAGTGTAGTGTAATGCAGTTTCTGCTTCTCACAGTGCCAGCCATGAAGGCCCAAGTAAGGTTGGAATTTGTGTCCATCTTGGTTTCTATCCTTATCTCCTGCCATCCACCGCATTCAGAAAGGGAAGCCTACCAGGGTAGTTAATGAAAGTGTTTTCAACATCATGATGTTATTTGCTGGTACTTAGCAAAAGAGTAACTATTAGAAAGTTATTGAAGTGTTTCTTCTTACAGACTAGATTCACTAGCAGTTGAATTCACTTTTTTTTTTTTTTTTTGCAATCAGGGACTCACATTAGTGTATTATTAGGATGGATACTTATCATGAGATAATGAGGAATGATGCTTAAAATACTAGACTCAGAATCAGAAGACCTGGTTTGATGTCAGTGTTTCTTAGCTTGTTCTTCAGTTTTCTCAGGTATACAATGCAATTTATATTTATTGTAAGTTCCTTAACAGTGTTATTGTATTATGAAATGGTATATATTATAATGAAATTGTGCTTAAATTTGTCTTGTATGAGCATAAAGATATTGCTTTGTTGTATTTGACAGAATTAGTTTTCTATCTTAGAACACATTCTAGATTTAGTATTGTTTGCATTTAAGACAAATGTTCATTTTATCATTGGGATTTATCATAAACTATTTTTTAGAGTTACTCAAATCAACTAAATATTTGCTGGGGATATCTCCATGAATAGAACCTGATCTTTTTATTTAATTAATTACATAAGAAGTATAATATATTCACGAGAGATCAGTTTATAAGTCCTGTATTTTAATATAAACACTCTTGTTTTTTCTTTTAATGTTTTAATATAGATAAATCACAATGGCTTCGGTTTGAATGCTGTTTTTGTTTGAATAACCTTGCAAATTATTTAAATAATCCTGAACCCTCATGTATATGTTGGAAAAAAAATACATCTCAACAAGTTGTTTGGAAATTATATGATTTAAATATGTAAAATTCCTAGTACTATACTTGGACTTTTTTAGTAGTAGCTTAATAAGTGATAGCCATTTTGTTCTGGTTGCATTTAACTGTTCATCCTAAGTGGAACAGGAATCACATTTTGTCTTTCTGCTTTGTTGAAAAAAATAGCAAATTGAATCATTGACTCATTATTTCGAAGAGATTTTAAATAAGAATAACATTGTTGATGAACCATGGAATGATTATTCTTTTTTTTTTTTCTTTTTGTTTTTAAATCAGGGCACCTAGATTTAAAGGTTTTCAACAACAAGACAGTCAGGAGCTTCTTCATTATTTGCTGGATGCTGTGAGGACAGAAGAAACAAAGGTCAGGTTCCTTAATGTTATCACATATTGCCTTTTTTTATTTTTAAAATTGTTTTTCTTTATTCTAATTAGTTATATATGACAGTAGAGTACATTTATGTACTTTGATATGTCATACATAAATGGAGTATAATTTCTCATTTTTCTGATTGTACATGTTGTATAATCACATTGGTCATGCAGTCATATGTGTACATAAACTAATAATGTCTGTTTCATTCTACTATTCTTCCTATCCCCATACGAAATTTCTCCCCTCTATCTAAAGTAACTATTCTTCCTGAGGGCTCATCCTCTTATTGTGAATTAGCATCTGCATATCAGAGAAAACATTTGGCCTTTGGTTTTTTTGGGATTGGCTTATTTTGCTTAGCATGATATTCTCCAACTCTGTCCATTCACCAGCAAATGTCATAATTTCATTCTTCTTTATGGCTGAGTAATATTCCATTGTGTATATGTGTGTGTGTGTGTGTGTGTGTGTGTGTGTGTGTGTGTGTGTGTATATATATATATCACATTTTTTAATTCATTCATCTGTTGAAGGGCACCTAGGTTGGTTCCATAGTTTAGCTATTGTAAGTTGAGCTGCTATAAACATTGACGTGGCTGCATCACTATAATATGCTAATGTTAAGTCCTTGGGTATAAACCTAGAATTGGAATAGCTGGGTAAAATGGGGTTCCATTCCAAGTTTTCTGAGGAATCTCCATGCTGCTTTCCATAGTGGTAGCACCAATTTGCATTCCCACCAGAAAAATGTGAGTGTACCCTTTTCTGCACATCCTAACCAACATTTATTGTTGTTTGTATTCTTGATAATTGGCATTCTGACTGGAGTGAGATGTAATCTTTGAGTAGTTTTGATTTGCATTTCTCTAATTGCAAGAAATATTGAACATTTTTTTCATATATTATTGATTGATTGTATTTCTTCTTCTGTGAAGTGTCTGTCCAGTTCCTTAGCCCATTTATTGATTGGGTTATTTGGGTTTTTTTGGTGTTGAGTTTTTTGAGTTCTTTATATATCCTGGTGTGTATATATATATATCTGAGGTGTACATGGTAAAGATTTTTCTCCCATTCTGAAGGTGTTCTCTTCACATTATTGATTGTTTCCTTTGAAAAGAAGCTTTTAATTTAAATTCATCCCATTTATTGATTCTTTTTTAAAAAAATATTTTATTTTTAGTTGTAGATAGACACAGTACCTTTTATTTTTTTAATTTGTGTGGTGCCGAGAATCGAACCCAGTGTCTCACACATGCTAGGCAAGTGCTCTACCACTGAGCTATAGCCCCAGGCCGTTGATTGATTCTTGATTTTACTTTTTGTGCTTTAGGAATCTTGTTAGGGAAGTCAGATCCTAAGCCAACATGGTAAAGATTTGGGCCTTTTTTCTTCTATTAGGCACAGGGTCTGTGGTCTAGTGCTTAAATCTTTGATCCACTTTGAGTTTAGTTTCATGCAGGGTGAGAGATAGGATTTCAATTTCATTTTTTTTCTTCTTCTTTTTTTTTTTTTTTAGTTGTAGATGGACACAAAGACTTTATTTTATTTATTCATTTTTATGTGATGCTGAGGATTGAATCCAGGGCCTCACATGTGCTAGGTGAGTATTCTACCACTGAACCACAATCACAGCCCTCGATTTCATTTTGTTTCATGTGGATTTCCAAGTTTCCCAGCACATTTATTGAATAGCCTATCTTTTCTCCAGTGAATGTTTTTGGTGCTTTTGCCTAGTATAAGATAACTGTATTTATGTGGGTTTGTCTCTGTGTCTTCTATTGTGTAGCAGTGGTCTACGTGTCTGTTTTGGTGCCAATACCATGCTGCTTTTGTTACTATTGCTCTAAAGTATAGTTTAAGGCCTGGTATTGTGGTCCCTCTTGCTTCACCCTTCTTGCTAAGGATTGCTTTGGCTAGTCTGGGTCTTTTATTTTCTCAAATGAATTTAATGATTGCCTTTTCTTGTTCTATGAAGAATGTCATTGGGATTTTAATAGGAATTGCATTAAATCTGTATAACGCATATTGCCATATGGCCATTTTGACAATATTAATTCTGCCTATCCAGAAGCATGGGAGGTCTTTCCATCTTCTAAAGTCTTTTTCAGTTTCTTTCTTTAGTGTCTGTAGTTTTCATTGTAGAGGTCTTTCACCTCTTTTGTTAGATTGAGTCTCAAGTTTTTTTTTTTTTTTTAAGCTATTGTGAATGGGGTAGTTTTGCTAATTCCTCTTTTAGTAGCTTCATCACTGATGATGAAACATGTTTGATTTATGGGTGTTGATTTTATAACCTATTACTTTGCTAAATTCATTTATGAGTTTTAGAAGTTTTCTGGTGAAATTTTTTGGTTCTTATAAATATTGAATCATGTCATTGGCAAATAGTGATGGTTTGCATTCTTTTCCTATTCATGTCTCTTTAATTTCTTTTTCCTGTCTGATTGCTCTGGTTAGAGTTTTCAAGGATGATGTTGATAGAAATAGTGAAAGAGGGCATCCTTGTCTTGTTCCAGTTTTATTGCATATTATCTTTAAGAACAGGATACACACTGAAAACTGGTTTCTACTATAATTTTAAAATACAGTGAGGGCAGAGGATGTAGGTCAGTCAGAGCTATTGTCTTGTATGCATAAAGCCCTGGGTTTAATCCCCAGCACTGTAAAATAAATATAGTGAAAAGTAATTGATTTTTTAAAATTCTGTATTTTCTTTTTTCCTCCTTTCTCCTGTTAAGATTATTTTATTCTTTCATAGTTCTACTATCCTGTATTAGTTCATGCCCTTTGGTTGTAAATAAAGCAATTCAAACTAAAAGAAAAGAGAATCTTAGCTGGGAATGGTGGCATGTGCCTGTAGTATAGCTTATTCAGGAAGCTAAAGCAGGGGCATGGCTTGAGTCTGGGAGTTCAGCGCAGCCTAGGTAACATAGTGAAACCCTGTCTAAAAAAAAAGCAGGAGGGGGGGGTCTTAAAAATCCATGCCAAAGAAGATATAGCTGAGTGATGTAGAGACAGGAAATTTATCAGGAATCTAGGAAGTATTTAAATTATTTCACTAGTTTCTTTGGCTCTGTAGATTTTCTTTATTTTTTAGACTGAATTATTTCTATGTTTCTGTGTCTGAATGATAGCACATAATCATAATTTGCATGCTACAGTTCAACATATATTAAAAACTAAACTGAGCTGGGATTGTGGCTCAGTGACAGAGCGCTTGCCTGGCATATATATGTGAGGCACTGGGTTCGATCCTCAGCACCACATAAAAATAAATAAACAAAATAAAGATATTGTTCCCATGTATAACTAAAAATGTATTAAAAACAAACAAATAAACAAACAAAAAAACCTAAACTAAACTTGCCGCAGCCCAGCTGGCTGGGCAAAATAACCGTGTGTGTGTGTGTGTGTGTGTGTGTGTGTGTGTGTGTGTGTGTGTGACGAATGACTTATGTAGATCAATACAGCAGGAGTGGAAGCCGTTTATTGTAGGACAACAGAGGTATTTATACATTCCACACAGCTTATCTAATTAACATAAACTAGATACAGCAGCCAACCAATAAGGAATCTCCACACTTAATGGCTCGCTGGCATTACTTCACAAACCACTCCCTCTGGCAAAATGCCAGGCGCCATCCAGACTTGTTTACAGACTCTAACATTTGCTAGGCGCCATCCTGACTTGTTTACAGATTCTAACATAAACTGACCATGATTCTCACTTCTAAATTCCCAGTAGAGTGAAATTTCATTATTCCATCCTGGACTCAATTCCACTTGGATCAGTTACTTGTGGCTAGGAGAGTAGGATTTCAACCTTGTGAATCAGGGAACTTTTCTCAGAAGATAAGGAAGAGCTCATGAGTGGATTCTCCTAAGTAACGTTTATTGTGCCCTATCCCTTGATTGATGGGTTGTTTATTGACTTTAATATTAAATTAGTAATTTTTTTTCCTTTTTTTTTCTTTCTTTCTTGGTTCTGGGGAGTAAACCCAGGGGTACTTTTCTACTGAGCACATCTCTAGCCCTTTTCACTAAATTGCTGAGGCTGGCTTTGAACTTGCCATCCTCCTGCCTCAGCCTCCAAACTGCTGGGATTACAGGCATGCACCACCCTGCCTGGTTCAGCTCTTTCTTATTTTGAGACTGGGTATTGCAAATTTTTGTAGGCTGGCCTTGAATTTGCAATCCTCCTACCTAATCCTCCTGAGGAGCGGGGATCACAGACATGTGCCACTGCACCTGGCTGTCTGTCCTTTCTTTCCTTCTTTGCTTGCTTTTCTTCTCCTCCCTCCCTATTCCCCCCCTTGTCTTTCTTTGCCAGGGATGGAACTCAGGGCCTTGCACACTCCAGGCAAAGATTCTGCCACTGAGCTGTATTCCCAATGCCCCTACACATACCATTTTTTAAAAGTCTACTTTGTTTGAATTATAATCTTGTACTCCTAATCTCCATTTTTCAGTGGAGAGTTTAGTATTCTAAAATTTTATTAAAAATGATCTTAAAAAATAATGAGTTGATCTCTCCTTTCTGCTAAAAAGTACCAGAAAACAGTATGTATTACAGTCCCCTTCTTTTTTTAAATTTTTTTTCTTTTAATATATATTTTTAGTTGTCAATAGACCTTTATTTTATTTATTTATATGTGGTGCTGAGAATCAAACCCAGAGCCTCACACATGCTAGGCAAGCACTCTACCACTGAGCCACAACCCCAGCCCATACAGTCTGCTTCTTTAAGTGGCCCCCTTAGTGGATTTCATAGGATTTGAACTTGGAAGAATTGGAAAGAAAATAATAATCTCCTAAATCAGTTTTATGATCTGGTTTCCTGGGGAATTTTCAATTATTTTGAATATGTTGTGATTTGGGTAAATTGATAGGATAATACTGCATTATGTTTAACCTGTTTTTTTTTTGGTTTTTCTTTTTGGTGAATTGAACCCAGGGGCCTTGTGCATGCAAGGCAAACACTCTACCAACTG